CTAACGAACAGAAGGAGAGAGAAAACTGAAATTACTAACATTCATAATGAAAAAGGAAATATCACAATGGACACTACAGAAATACAGAAGATAATTAAAAATTATTTTGAAAATTTGTACTTCAAGAAAATAGAAAATATCAAAGGCATCGACAAATTTCTAGAGGCATATGATAGGCCCAAACTAAATCAGGATCATATGCACAATTTAACCAGATCAATTTCAAGCAAGGAAATAGATGACACCATCAAAAGTCTACCAACCAAGAAAAGTCCAGGACCAGATGGATACACAGCCAAGTTCTTCAAGACCTTTACAGAAGAGCTAACACCAATACTCCTCAAACTATTTCATGATATAGAAAAAGAGGGAACACTTCCAAACACATTCTATGAGGCCAATATCACCCTGATTCCAAAATCAGACAAAGACACTTCAAAGAAAGAAAACTTCAGACCAATATCTTTAAGGAATATAGATGCAAAAATTCTCAATAAAATTCTGACAAATCAAATACAAAAACATATCAAAAGATAGTGCACCATGATTAAGTAGGGTTTATCCCAGGGATGGAAGATTGGTTCAACATATGAAAATCAATAAATATAATTCATCACACCAATAGCCTCAGATAAAAATCATATGATCATCTCAATAGATGCAGAGAAATCATGTGATAAAATACATCACCTCTTCATGTTCAAAACACTAGAAAAACAAGGGATATCAGGAACATATCTCAACATTGTAAAAGCTATCTATGGCTAACATCATTCAAAATGGAGAAAACTGAGAACAAGATAGGGACACCCTCTTTTACCACTTCTACTTAACACAGTTCTTGAAACTCTAGCCAAAGCAATTAGACAGATAAAATAAATTAAAGGGATATGGATAGGAAAAGAAGAACTCAAATTATCACTTATTTGCTGACGATGTAATTCTATACCTAGAATAATTCCACCCTAAATCTTCTAGAACTAATAAATGAATTCAGCAAAGTAGCAGGATATAAAATCAACACCCATAAATCAAAGTAATTTCTGTACATCAGTGACAAATCCTCAGAAACAAGGAAAACCATCCCATTTACAAAGCCTAAAAAAAATAAAATAAAATACTTGGGAATCGACTTAATGAAAGAGGTGAAAGACCTCTACAACAAAAACTACAGAACAATAAAGAACTTAAAGAAGGCCTTAGAAGTTGGAAAGATCTACCTTGTTCTTGGATAGGAAGAATTAATATTGTCAAAATGACCATAATACCAAAAGCATTATACAGATTCAATGCAATTCCAATCAAAATCCCAATGACATTCCTCATAGAAATAGAAAAAGTAATATGAAATTCATCTGGAAAAATAAGAGACCCAGAATAGCCAAAGCAATCCTTAGCAAGAAAAGTGAAGCTGGTGACATTACTATTCCAGACCTTACGCTATACTACGGAGCAACAGTAATAAAAACAGCATGGTATTGGCACCAAAACAGACCAATGGTACAGAATAGAGGACACAGAGACAAACCCACATAATTATAGCTATCTCATATTAGACAAAAGTGCCAAAAATATATATTGCAGAAAAGATAGCCTCTTCAACAAATGGTGCTGGGAAAACTGGAAATCCACATGTAACAAAATGAAATTAAACCTCTACCTCTCACCTTGCATAAAACTTAACTCAAAGTAGATCAAGGACCTACTTAAACCAGAGACCTAGAACCTAATGGAAGAAAAAGTAGGCCCCAATCTCCATCATGTCATATAAGGTCCCAACATCCTTAATAAGACTCCTGTAGTGCAAGAATTAAAACCAAGAATCAATAAATGCAATGGATTCAAAATAAAAAGCTTCTTATCAGCAAAAGAAACTATCAGTGAGGTGAATAGAAAGCCTACAGAATAGGAGCAAATCTTTACCACAAGCACATCAGATAGAACACTAATCTCTAGGATATATAAAGTGCTCAAAAACCTTAACATCATAAAAACAAATAACCCAATCAATAAATGGGCCAAGGAACTGAACAAACACTATGCAGAAGAGGATATACAATCAATCAACAAATATATGAAAAAATGTTCAACATTTATAGCAATTAGAGAAATGCAAATCAAAACTAAGATTTCATCTCACTCCAGTAAGAATGGCAGCTATCAACAATAAGTGTTGGTGAGGATGTGGGGGAAAAGCACACTCATACATTGCTGGTGGGACTGAAAATTGGTGCAGCCAATCTGGAAGGCAGTATGGAGATTCCTTGGAAACCTTGAAATGGAACCACCATTAGACACAGCTATCCCACTCCTTTGTTTTATACCCAAAGGACTTAAAAACAGCAAACTACAGGTATGGCCACATCAATGTTTATAGCAGCACAATTCACAATAGCTAAATTATGGAACCAACCCAGATGGCCCTTCAGTAGATAATGAATAGAGAAACTTTGGTGTGTATATATATATATAATCAAATATTACTCAGCATTAAAAGAGAATAAAATCATTATATTTGTAGGTAAATAGATGGAGTTAGAGAATATAATGCTAAGTGAAGTAAGCCAATTCCAAAAAAACCAAAGGTCGAATGTTTTCTTTGATATGAAGATGCTGACTCATAAGGTGATGGGGGGTGAGGAGCAAGGGAGGAATGGAGGAACTTTAGATAGGGCAAAGGGAATGGAGGGGAAGGGAGAGGGCATGGGGAAAAATGATGGAATGAGTTAGAAATCATTACCCTAAGTACATGTATGAAGACACGAATGGTGTGAAAAATACTTTGTGTACAACCAGAGACATGAAAAATTATGCTCTATATGTGTAATATGAAATGAATGGCACTCTGCCATCATATATAACAAATTAGAATAAATACTTTAATAAAAAAGAATATTTTAAAAAGCAGTAAGTTATTGATGGGAATTAAAATATCAAATTAAACATTAAAACTATTTTTAAGATCCTTTACGGGCCTTAAGTTCAGTTATGTTGATTTTCTCAATTTTAAAAAGACTATTTTCCTTCTTTCTCTCTTGATCCCAAATCTCCTTCTTCTACCATCCCATTTATTTTTTACCAATCTCAAAACTAATATGTTCAAACTCAAATGGCTATTTCTCTTGATGAATCTTGTCTATTTAGTCATTTGTGTCTCAGTTAAGAGCAACTCTGCTTTTCCTCTTGCTCAAATGGGTCACTGAGGTTATTCTGGACTCTTCTCTAGTTTTCTACCCTATATGTAATCTGTAAAAGCATCTTGTTGGTTTTCTCTTCAAATTCCAGAGTCAGTCCTACATCTCCACCACTTGACTACAAACTACCACCTGGTCTATTTCTCACTTGAATAATTAAAGGCTTTGATTTTTATTTTTCCTGATTTAACACATGCTTTCCCAAAGCCTTTTCTCCACATTAGCCAGAATGATCCTTTTCAAAATATAATTCAAATCTATGTGACACTTATTTATTAAAAATCCTTCAATGGCTCTCCATTTTTTTCCCTCACAGTAGAAGCTAAAGTGAGATTATGGCTCAGTGGCAGAGCATTTGCCTAGCATGTGTAAGGCACTGGGCTTGATTCACAGCACTGTATATAAATAAATAAAGATTCATCAAAAACTAAAAAAAAAAATAAAATAAAAACTTGTGTGATCTGTCCCCAATCTCTTTCACTCTATTGTAAGCATATCATCCTCTTCTTTACTCCCTTGAACATGCCAGCTATGCTCCCACCTTGTTTGCATCCATTTTCCTGCTGCCTGGAGTGTTCTTCCCCTGCACCATCACATAATTCACATCTCCTTCAAGTCCTTATTTTAATACCTGTTTCTCAATAAGGCCCTTGCTGACCATCACAATTAATTTACAACCTCTCACCTAGCACTATTATCCTACTTGATTTTGTCTACAGTATTTATGATCCTTTAGCTTTCTACATAATTTGTTCATGTATTATATTTATTATTTTCTTCCTCTGTTGAGATGCAAGCTCCCTGAGGGCAAAAATTCTGATCTGAATGGTTCACTAATACATCTCTGGTACCTCAACGAGTTCCTGTTCCAGAGAGGGTGCTCAGTAAATTTAAATTAATTTATTGGATGTTTGTAAGGATCTTTGATCTTTCTACAAATTATTTCTCACTCTTATTAAAATATTTTAGATTTACAACAAATCTCCCATTTTACATTTTGATTAGAACATTTTCTTTTCTTTTCCTTTAACCCAGAAGGAAAACTGTCTTCAGTGTCATCTGACTTAATCAAAACTATAGCCCTGAGTAAGGAGAAATAATAGAACAGAGAATGGGAAAGGCAAATCAAGGAATTTGGTGGCAAAACTAAACTATCATCACCATCAAGGAAGACTGTTTTAACAATTGCTATCAGCTCAACTAAATAACAGAGAAAAACCAGTATCATCTTTCAAGTATTCTAACCAACTATCATCTATGAGGCTGAACATTAAAGCAAATCAGAGTCACAATTATGTGACTGTTCAAATTATAGCAACAAAAAAATGTGTGTTAAGCAACAATGGAAGGAAAGCATGTATATACTATTAATCTCTATGAATACCCTAAGTTATCAAGCTCATTTTATTAAAAAAATTCCTTATTTCTTCTCTATAAAGGGAAGCTGGAATGACATATAAATGAATCAAGTATCATTACTGTTTATAAATTGTCATCTACTATTCTCATTAGTCACAAAATACCAAAAATGTTCGTAAAACTCATTAAAATAGATGTTATAACATTATATAAATAAATAAATAAGAAGTACAACAGTGTAGTGTTCCATAAAATAGTTAATTTTTATAAATAGATAAAGGGAAGATAAATGGGAAAAACAGAATTGTAATTAAGATTTATTTATCATTGATAATTAAAATTGTTTTATCACATTTATCATTAATATCTAATCAATTATGAATAATATTTATATTCTTATTTGTAATGTTTAATACTGAATTAATTACTTCATAAAAAAGAACTCACTTTAGATTATATGTATTGTATTCAATGGAAGACTTTGGCACTGCAGGAATCATATAAAGAAATCCAAGATTTTCATTTTCACGTATTATTTTGATGATTTGCAAAGGATCACGAATGTTGGCTTTAATGACTTCTTCTGGGTCTTGGAAAATATACGTGGGGTAAGTTGATGACCTACTCCCAAAAAGACCTCTTCTTCCAATACCTGTACGAGGCTGTTTTTGAGGAGAAGGAGCGAATGCCTCTTCAGAGGATCGACGGATCTAAACAAAGCCAATTAAAAAGCATGAGTTTTTGTCGGGTTAAAAGGAAAAATATGAAATATTACCCCTAAAGTCAAGCATTTTGAAACTTAAAAATTTTAAACTATTGTCCTTCTCAGTACTCCCTATCCATATGCCCACTCCATTCCCACAAAACAGCCCCCCCACCAGTGTCAGCTCCCATTTGCTTCTCCTCTCTATTAAGTCCATGTTTATTACATCCAAATACTATAAACTCTCTGGTGTTCAGGAGAGCTCACCACTCTCCTTGCTTGGTTGCTCTGCTTCAATCCTGGCTGTGGCATCTCCACTTAACTTCCTCAGCTGTTCTGACAACCTTGATGTTTTTCAGGGAGTGAAATCTTGGACATCTGTTATCATAACTCATGATAAACTACTCATGATAAATGTAAGGGGTGGATACAATCAGTATTAGAAAGCATGCTGTAGTGATTTTATTTTAGTAACAAATAATTGCCTGCTCTGAATGCCAGTGCTTCTCAAACATAAATGTGCACATAATTTGTTAAACTACAGATTCTGATTCAGTACCACTGGGGTGGAACCTGAGATGCTATACCTCTAACCTGATCATAAGCAATGTGAGTCTTGTGGGCCCACTGTCCACACTTGGAACAGCAAGGCTAAGTATCATCCTTGTCACAATCACATATTTGAGCTTTGCTCTTCTCTTTGGGTTTCATTATCTGTGACTTCAGTACCACTCACACCCTTTTGTTCCTTAAAAAACAAAAACAAAAATCCTTTGGGGTGGCATTGGCCACATTCTTTCCTTTCATAAAGTTTCCTTGTCTGAGGAAATTTGACCCTACCTCCAAAAGTTATCACCTTATATCTCTGAGAGTACAAGGGTAACTAGTTTAAAGATAATAGAATAACCATAGTGGACCTGCTTTGTTAAATGCTTTCTGCATAATTGATAGAGGATGTCATTTCTGTAAAAGTTTATTACCACAAACTCTGTGGAACAATTTTCCCAGAAAGTTTATATTCAGAGGGATTGTTATTCTTTATTTTTGGTTAAATATACCCGATTGAATAGTAGTTTGAGAGGAGAAACCCAGCAAACAGAGCTAAAAGAAACACATTTTTGAACTCAAAAGATAAAATATGCTTATTTTACTTATTGGCCATAGATGGCAGCAATGACACTGTTCTTTGATGTGAAAGAATAGGTCAAAACTGATACCCAGATCAGGGAAAATGTGTATCATCTCAATGTTTCAACAAGGGCTACAGTCAACTTTAATATTTTTGTCAGATTAAAGTATCAACATTTTAACAGAAATACATTTATTTTCTTTATTGTGTCTTTTTTTAAAAAAAGCTTTACTGCATTCTTTAGAAACAGGACTACACATTTTCATCTGAGGACTTATTTCTAATTATGTAATGGTGGGAAAATGTCGATTTAGCAGTTACATATGTTACGATGAGGAACAAAGAAAGCATTTATTCAGAAAATATAGAACACCTATAGGATGTGCCTAATATCTTCCTTAATTACCAGAAGCCTTCTCTCCTCTCTTTTCTTCTTTTTTTCTTTCTCCTCTTCTTCTCTCCCCTTTTCTTTTCATTTCTTCTATTTTCCCTCCTCTCCCTCCCTTCCTTCCTACCCCTTCTAGGAAATCTTCATTGTGCATTTCCATTCTAAATTTATCGTAAGAAATCAATACCTGAAAAATTGCCTTCTCCTTAGAATAAATACCTTCTCCTTTTGCTCRGAATCTATTTTTCACATTTTCCTGTAAGCCCTAACTCTTTATTGAATTCTTCCCTGGAATGATACAACCAGGAAGCATAGTTTAACAGGACCTAACAGTCCTTTCAAACTTCCTTTGCAACCCTGATATCCATACAATTATTCTTTTCTTCCTTTTCAAACTTAAGCCCTGGGAGCCCATTTTATGTCAAGTTAATTAGTCTATGAGCATTCAATCTTTTCTGGCTGTATTTAAGATAGGTCTCTCTTCACCTCACAAAAAACCCTATTAATTGAAGCTATAGAATTCTATATAATTCTTCTTCTGTTTTCTTTCTCTTGGACTGACCTCACTCAAACCCATGGTGAGCTCCTGTCTACCTGGATTCTCCCCAAACCCCTATCTCTCCTAATTTCTCAATCTCAGTGACTTTCCACTCATTCCTCTGAGCTTAGCACAACTCTCAAGGGTGGCTTTTCCTCCACTGACTGTCCCCTGGTCACCAGGGGTTTTTGGTGGAAGTATTCCTTTCATTCAGTTCATCATTTTTTATCTTAAATGAGCAACAATTATTACTACACCCTACTGTTCTTGAGTGTTCACTTGTCCACCTATCCACTTCCAAACTCTGAAGTTCTCAAGAACAGAATTTCAACTTGGTATTTCTAGCACTATAGCCCAATGCCTGAATCAAGTATCAAAATGTCCTCCAACCAAAATCTCGGAGAAATCTTGGCTCTATTGGTATCTTTACTATAGGTATGGTCTTTGCATTTTCTCCCATTTCTCTTTCTTTTTATCTATAGATAATCAATTAAAGCTGAGCTCTAATAAATTTCTCCTCTAAGCTACATTTGGCCTTGCAAGGCAACTTACCCACTCTGCAATTCTCACCAGCTACAAACATTGTCTTTTGAACTGACTCAGTGTCTATTTTAGTGTCAGGCACCCAAGTCCTCAAGGATTCCCATTTTTGGTAAAAAAAAAAAAAAATGATGAAAAAATTAAAGTAAAAAATTCAATACACTGTTTTTTAGCATGAAAGAGATAAAAGACACTATGCATATGCTGAAAATTTTTTTCATGTTTCTCCTCTACTGTCCAAGTTTTCCTCAAGTAGGAAGAACTGAGAAATATTTCCCAATCACATATGCAACCTTCTAAAAATGATTTACCTCCTGTTTTATGAGTTGAAAGCATTTTAGTGACACTGTACAATATTAAAATTAAAAGTATCAGTATTATACCTGCTTTTTTTTCACATCATCTTGAGGCTCAGCAAATGAAGTAGGTGATTTGATAGATTTTCTTTCTGCTGAGCTTGGTGATCCTTTAAGGATTCCACGAGTTCTTAATTGCGATCGGTTCTGTTCATATATGTATTCTGGCTGCTGATGATCTTGATAGACTTTTAGCACTGGCTTTGGGGAATACAGAGTCATGTTAATCTTTTAACATTAGTGTGAACTTGCTGTGTTCTTCATTACCTTTACACTCTTTCCCTGTAGGAAACTAATCTCCTTCCTAATTTCCTAAAAGCCTCAGCCTTAACAGCAACTACTACCATTGTCTATTCCTCACTTATTGCTTAAATAAGAGTTTTCTACTTGGTTTCCATTAGTTTTGTACTTTAATTTACTAATGAATACCTCTGGGAGTAAGATTATCACAGAAAAGCTCACCAGCATGAAATCATATGTCTCCTAAGTGTACAGCACAAACTTTTCACTATCACTCTACTGTGAGAAGGAATTTTCAATATAACAATTTGTGAACCTGAGGAAGCAGAGGGAAGTCATTAGGGCAAGCAATGGTTATGAGAATGGGGAGCCCTAATTTTTCCAACAAACACTCAGTGGAAAATATGGCAGGAAAAATAGAATAAAAGGGAAATTATGTATGCATTCTTCAAACTCAAATTCTCAGGTTACTGAGACTGAAGATTAGAGTACAAATACAGAAAGGAGAAGGTAAGGAAAAACTTGTAGGCTTTAGATTGGAATTAAAAATGTAAGTGTGAATTCAAGATTTTAAAAATTACAAACATACACATATACACACCTTCTAGTCCTGTATATTTAAAGTTCTAAATGCAATTATGTCCAAAGTAATATGTACACATTGTGACTACATCTTGGTTTATAAAATTCCATTTCTTGCTAAAATGAGTGCCTAACTCCTTGTTGAAGGCATGAAAAATACAAGGTAAACCTTGAACTCTTGTCATGCTGGAAAGCAAGGAAGTACTCAAAAATTGTTGTCGACATGTCAAAAGATATTGAAATTTAAGGATACGCTCCCAGATACTTTAAATATAAAAATGAAAAATTATACAGATTAAGTACAATACTAAATTTTTTTAGAAGTTATAAATCCATACTGATATTTTAAAGTATTTAAGATAGGAAATACAGCTGTTCTCTATAGAAAAATGCTAATTAATAAGTATATGGAATAATCTGAGTATCAAAAGTACATAGTCAATTTAAATATATTAAATAAATAAAAGCCATGAATCCATGGATTTTTTATTGTCAGAGGAGAGAGAGAGAAGGTAATGTTATTATTATTTGAAGATCATAACTGATAATCATAAATGTTATGATAGAATTAGAAAACCCATATTTTGCCTTCTCCAGTGTAATATTTGATTCAGGTAAGAATCATCAGTGGAGACTAAAGTTATTTTGTAAAATGTTTTTGGGAAATGTGATATTTGCACAATGTGAAAATATCAGCTGCAGATTACCTATTAACTTACCAGTCACAATCTTTTATTTATTTATTTTTTACTTTTAAAAATATTTTTTAGTTGTAGATGGACAATACCTTTATTTTATTTATTTATTTTTATGTGGTGCTGAGGATCAAGCCCAGTGCCTCGTACATGTGAGGCAAGCCCTCTGCCACTGAGCCACAATCCCAGCCCACCAGTCACAATTTTAAACAAGTGTTTAAACATCATGAGTAGAGATGTTATATACTTCCTGATCTGGTAAAATATAAAGTTCACAATATTACCTATGAAGCATTACTACCAAAAATGTTTAAGCTGACTCTTATCAGACTCAGAGAGACAGAAAATAATGTAAAGTCAAATGACACAATAAAGAAAACATCAGACATATCCAGAACGTGCAATGGTGTTACACGATAGGTGGGGACTCTTCAGTCAATATTACCAAAAAAATTAGTTATAGGACTCTTCTAGATAAAGAGAAAAAAGAAACATAACTACAAAATGCCATACTTTAATCTTAATTAGATCCTTGTTAGGGGTGACAAGTTTTTAAATATATTTCAGGAACCAATGGAGAAATTTCAGTGTGGACTAGATTTTGGATGATACTATGGAATTAGTAATTTTCTTAGGGCTGGGGATGTGGCTCAAGCGGTAGTGCGCTCGCCTGGCATACGCGCAGCCTGGGTTCGATCCTCAGCACCACATACAAACAAAGATGTTGTGTACGCCAAAAACTGAAAAATAAACATTGAAATTCTCTCTCTCTCTCTCCTCTCTCTCTCTCTCTCTCAGAGATATTTCCCAATCCTAGTCTATTAAAAAAAAGTAATTTTCTTAGGTGTGAATATAGAATTATGGTATGCAGGAAACTGTTCTTAGGATTGCATGCCTAAGTATTGAGAATTAAGTGTTACTTTGTTTACAATTTACTTCAAATAATGAAGTAACAGCATATATAACAAAATATGTCATAAGCATATGACAAAATACTGACAATTCTTGGAATATAAGTGGAAAGTATATGAGTACTCATTGTGTTCTTCTTTAAACTTTCCTGTATATTTGAAAGTTTTCATAAGAAAAAATTGGAAGAAGTTGAATATTAAAAATAAAATGTCAAAACCACAAACAGTGGGATAGATTCATATAAATCCTAGTAGTGGTTATCTCTTTCTGATACAGCATTAAGATTGGAATGAGGCATAAAAGGCAGTTGAGCTATATATCAGGGTATTCCTTTAAAAATAGATATTAAAGCAAACTAGGCAAAATCCAACATTGTTTTGTTTACATATTTTCTTAACTATGTATTTGAAATTTTCAATAAAATAGGAATAAATTTCTTAATATAATTATAGAGTACTTAGAAAAATCAATAGCACATGCCTATTACTCTTAATAGGAAAACCTTAAGGCCATTATTAAGTCAAGAACAAGATCATTTTCACTCTCACCTATATAATTAAATTCTTAATTTAGAGAATCACAGCCTTTGGGAAAGGAGTCCCTTGTGTTTCTCCTTTGCTAGCAAAACAGTAAACCTTCTTTTTCCTTTTTCTAAAAAAAAAATTATTTGGAGCATTTAGAATAAAGTTTTTCTCTGAAGGGTCAGATAGTAAATACTTTAAGGTTGGATGTCATACAGTCTCAGTTACAACTACTGAACTCTACCACAGTTCTATAAAAGTAGTCTTAGATGGTATGCAAATAAATGGATGTGGCAGTGATCCAATAAAGCATTATTTATTTTAAAAAAGTTTACAGAATTGGATTTGACCTGCAGGCCATAGTTTGCTGAATTCTAATCTAGAAAATAAAGTAATTGGTGTAAACACAAAAAAAGGCAAATTTATCTAATTGTCAATGATGCTTCTTATATATCTTGAAAAACGAAAGCTTAACACTAAATATAAGAATTTAAAATGATATTAGTGAAATTCTGGTTAAAAACAAACATACAAAATCCATTTGCTTTTCTGTGTACTGAAAATAAAGGGAAGGACATCTTTTCAAAATAAAGTATAAAGTGAAGTAAACTAAAGTAGTTAAGAACTTATTTGAGAAGTACACAGCTCTAGTAAAGGAAACTACTTAGTCTCACTTAGGATGAAAAACAAAACTTGCAAAAAAATAAGAAAATGCTAGATGTGAATTGTGGGAAAATCACATGATAATCTCCATACATACAATAAAGGCATTTGATTAAATTCAATATCTACTTCTAATAAAATAATTAATAAAAAATAAGATGCAAATTGCAACAAGAACAGTGATGTCATTTAACATCTTTCAGTCTTGCAAAAATAAAAGAACTGATAACATCTGCTTTGATAAAGATGTGGGTAAACAGGCACTCTCCTCCCTGTTAGTGGAAAAATTGTTTAAACCTTTCTGTAGGGCAAATGGGCAATATTCTGTGACCTACAAAACAGTACTTCTAGGAATCTTTTTATGTACAAAGACATTCAATGCAACATTATCTGAAATAGCAAAAAATCAAAACATAAAACAACAACAACAAAAAGAATGAATTCCCCTTGACCAGTTAATGTGTACCATATTATGGCATCCTTGCAACAAAATCCAATTCTCCTGTTAAAGATATCTCCATGTGCATGAATTGGAACACTTTTTATATATTTAAGTAAAATAAACACTTGAAGATCAGTATATATTACATAAGCTTACTTTTAAATTATACATATTTATAGACATTGATATTTGCAAATATAGTTTAAAAAACATACAAAACATTTTGAAGAGCACTTAACAACTAGTTATAATAAATATTTGAGGGTAAGGGATAAGAGCTTTTATTTTTTACTTTATATACTTTCACAGTTCCTTTTACATGCATTGACAATTACTCAAGGACATAACTTATTTCTTAAAATACAGTATTTTCAAAAATGCTGAAAAATTTTCAGGACACTAGAAATGTACTTTGAAAATAATAAAAACTACACAACTATATGTAATAATTATACTGGAGTCCCCAGTATTAAATAAATACACTGATATTTAAAAAGAGTCTTATAATCTACATAGTTAGGAATCTATATTCTACAAAATTCTAGAGAGGATTTATCTGCTAGAAAACTTGGTTCACTTCTGTATCCACCAATTTAAATAGTGCCTAGAACTTAATATTCATTGAATAAATGTTTACAGTGTGTATAACTTCATAAACAAGTTTTTAACTTTTAAGGTTTTCATGCCTTCTTGGTCAAAAGGCTGGAAATGACATCCATTCCCCTAAAGCAATTTTGCAACTTTCTCTGTAGCCTGAAAGTGGGTAAAATACTAGGTTTTTAACTTACCAGAGGTTCCAGTTTTATAGGTTGCTGTCTTTTTCTTGTCCTCTGCTGTGCTTTTGTGGTGTGCTTAAATGTCAGTGTTTGTGTATCAGTTTCAATTCCTGTGGATTTTACAGAACTCATTCTTCCCCTTGCTTTTATACTATTCAGTCTTGAAAGCACAATATTTTCTACAGTATCTTCAGTATCTTCCAGGTCGATTTCATCATTTGTGGGCTGAAAAGACATCCTTACTTCTAGAAAGAATAGGTAAGAAAAAGAAAAATGAAAAGCCAAGCAGAAGGATTGGGGGAGGAGATATATGGGGGAGGAGATATATGGTGGAGGAGGACCTAAGGATAGGGAAGAGATTAATTTGCTGAAATCCCCTAAAGAATACCAACCAAAGTTATACCAGTCTTTACAAACTGAGGACTTAAACCAGAGGAATAAAAATTAGGAACTATATCTGGGATACAAGAACCCCTGGGGTGGAACCCAGAGATTTGCATTTCTAACAAGTGCTTGGGTTTTGCTGCTGATGGGGCTGATCTGGGAACCACACTGGTGGAGATTTGAAAGGATGAAGAGAAGTGCATTGAGATCAGTGTTTTGAGATCAATGTTTTTTTTTTTTTTTTTTAGATTTGAGTATGCAAAACATCTCCTGGGAACCTTTTTTTCTTTCTTTCTTTAAGCAGGTAATCCTAATACCTACAATCTGAGAAATAAAAATCTACATACTCAAGAAAAAAACCAAGAAACAAAGAATTGACGACTAAATTCTAACAGTGTTTCTGGAGCTTTTCTGGGCAGGAAAATCACATTAAGAGCTTGTTAAAATTCAGATTCTGATTCATATAGTTTGAGTAGTAAGGTCCTAAAAGTGTGAGCCTTTTGTAGAAATCTTGCACTCCTTATCATTGCCCACACTCTCATCCCATTTGATGGGTGGGGGTATACTTCAAAATAGTATTATAACACAAAAATTCTTAAACCAGGTGTTGTCATACCTAGGTCTTAATCCAGTTCAATGCTGGCCAATAGAAATTTGAGAGCCTTCTATGCAATTTTAATTTTTCAAGTAACTAGGAAAAAAGAAAACAGGTGAATTAATTTTAACCATATTTTATCTAACATATCCAAAGCCTCATTTTGGGCACAATTCAATGCAGGACTAGCCACACGTATCTAGCGGCTACCATATTGAATAGCGAAAGGTCAATATTTGACCACTCCCTATATTGCTATTTTTCACTTTCCACCCCTGGAATATGATAGGTAAATAGGTAATTAGTGAAATGCCTTTACGATCAGATGACTTTCTATGTCTCTCTTAACCTTTCCTTCTGCGCTCCGAAAGCTAGGCTGTGTTTCTGGCCCAGAAGTCGGAGGCCGGCTCCAAGGCTCGGTCCCATAAGACTCACCAGGTTCGACTAGAGCAGCCACTGCGGAGGGGTCTCCAAAGACCGAGCAACGCCTGGTCTAGGAGTTGGAAGCTCTGGTCTGTACTGTTTCTCGTTGCCTAGCAGCCACCAGCTCCCGCCCCCTACCGACACCCACTGCGCCCTGGCGCCACTGCGTAACCCATTGCCACGGTAACGCCTTAGCTCGCCACTGCTCTCGGTCCTGCAGCGCTGCCAGTAGCTGAGCCAATCAGTGCCTCAGGAATATTTCCTAGGTCGCTGGTTGGTAGGTAGCCTGCGGTAGTCGCCCAGTTTCTTCTCTGAGCAGGTAACTGAGAGCTGTCTAGGTGCTGCAGGATAGGGCAAGAGCAGTAATTAATTCTGTTCGTTTCCTTATGGACAGTCCACGCTTATTGTCTCAACCTCTTACAGGAATCTCTTTTCTGTTTTCCCTCAAGAGGCTAAATACTGACTTGACGTTCGCTTTAATATCAAATTCGCTAGTTGGAAGAATTGAAAAAAATCTCAGGGGAGGGATGTGTTGTGTAGAAAGCTGAAATCCCACTCTCCAAGGGCCACCATCCTAGTCCCTGCCCCACGCACCGAGATGCTCCCCAAGACCTTAGGAATGTCACAAGCCGTGCGGTTCATTGACATAAAATAGCCCGAAAAGCAAATTTGTAGAGAAATTTTAGAAAGCAGATTAGTGGTTGCCAGGGCAGAAATTTAATAGGTGCGATGTTTCCATTTGGCTGATGAAAATATTCTGGAACTAGGTAATGGTGATAATTGCACAATAGTGTGAATGTACTAAATATCGCTAGCGATTAATGTTGTGTTTAATACACAAATTTGTTGAATAGATTGCAGACTGGACACAACTCAAGAGAAAATAAGTTATCTGGAAGATTAGAAAGAAGTTATAAAAATAAGGCATAAAAATCTAATGATGGAAAATACAGAAGGTAAGATTCATAAGAGGATTCTGAGGCAAGGCCTAAATTTCACTAAAATCTAGTCTAAGAAGGAAAGGAAAGAGAAAATGGGGTATTTTCAGAGATACTGGCAGATAAAGACATTTTCTGAGAATTTTCCCTAGCTGAAGTTAGATTAGACTTGGCCTTAAGGTGGATAAAACCTATTTGAGATGATGATATTCTATCAGAATTAGGTTATGCTTCAGCTCAAGGTATCCAAATGATTAAGATGTAGAATTGTAGCAGAATGGATCTCATAATTACTGAGCAGCTGAATCTTTTGAAGGAGCTTCAAGAACTATAGAAAAGGCACTATGATTTTTGACATTTCAGTAGATTTTTTTAAAACTCATGTCAACTTGTTCCTATTTCTCTGTTGTGATGTGCAATAACACCTTTTGAATAAAACTGTGTGCCTCTCTTTGGAAACAAAAGGTACAATAAAAGATAGGAGATTGTCTCATTTGAGAAAGAGAATGTAGTCAATTAGGAAAACCCTAGGGACAAAGTGAAGGATGATAGCTACCAAAAAAAGGGGAAAATGAACTGCATCTCTGAGGCTGTAGTGGTCTTTATTTTTAAACTGGTGATAACCAGTGACACTACTAAAGGAGAAAGGTTGAAAGCTCTATTACTATGGTGTGAGCAGAATATGAGACAGGTGACTCAGCACATAAATAGGAAGAAAGGTCTGATGGGACCTTGGCTTACATAGTAGGTAATGCATTTGCAGTTGCTTTTGCATATTTTTTATTCTAATTCGTTATACATGACAGCAGAATGCATTTCAATTCATATTACACATATAGAGCACAATTTTTCATGTCTCTGGTTGTACACAAAGTATTTTCACACCATTCGTGTCTTCATACATGTACTTAGGGTAATGACGTCTAACTCATTCCACCATCTTTCCCCATGCCCCCTCCCTTCCCCTCCATTCCATTTGCCCTATCTAAAGTTCCTCCATTCCTCCCATGCTTTCCCCATGCCCATTATGAGTCAGCATCCTCATAACAAAGTTAACATTCAGCATTTGTTTTTTGGGGATTGGCTTACTTCACTTACCATAATATTCTCCAACTCCATCCATTTACCTGCAAATACCATAATTTTATTCTTTTTTAATGCTGAGTAATATCCCATTGTGTATATATACCAGTTTCTTTATCCATTCATCTACTGAAGGGCATCTAGGTTATTTTCACAATTTAGCTATTGTGAATTGTGCTGCTATAAACATTGATGTGGCTATGTCCTTGCAGTATGCTGTTTTTAAGTATGCTTTTTTGGGGTATAAACTGAGGAGTTGGATAGCTGGATCAAATGGTGGTTGCATTCCAAGTTTTCCAAGGAATCTTCATACTGCTTTCCATATTGGCCGCACCAATTTTTCAGTCTCACAACAGTGTATGAGTGTGCCTTTTTCCCCACTTCCTCACCAAAACTTATTGTTGTTTATATTCCTGATAGCTGCCATTCTGACTGGAGTGAGATGAAATCTTAGAGTAGTTTTGATTTGCATTTCTCTAATTGCTAGAAATGTTGAACATTTTTCATATATTTGTTGACTGATTGTATATCTTCTTCTGCAAAGTGTTCAGTTCCTTGGCCCATTTATTGATTGGGTTATTTGTGCTCTTGCATATTTTTACTGATTTTTTAATAGTGGGAATTGAACCCAAAGGCACTTTGCCAATAAGCTGCATCCCCAACCCCTTTTATTTTTTTATTTTAAGGCAGGGTCTCAATAAATTGCTGAGGATGTCGCTTGCTGAGGTTGGCCTTGAATTTGTGATCCTCTGACCTCAGCCTCCTGTGTCATTAGAATTACAGATGTGCACATCCATATCTGGCATTATTTTTACTGTTTTTCAACTCTGTTCATCAAGTCTTTAGAAACAAGATACTTTTGGCCTGAATCTCTGGATGTTATCTAGAACCTCATTAAATCACTTAGTAAGTAAAAAAGCCAATTTCTTTGGGCAGGGAAGGACTGGGAAAAGTTGGTCAGTGGGTACTAAGTTGCTGTGAGATAGGAGAAATAAGTTCTTGTATTCTATGTATACAAGGGAGACTATGGATAATGATGATGTATATTTCAAAAGAGCTAAAAGAAAGGATTTTGAGTGTTTTCACCACATAGAAATGAGAAATGTTTGAATAGATATACTTACTCCGATTCAAAAATTATATAATTTATACATATATTAAAATAGCACATGGACATCCTAAATATGTTCAATTTTTATATTATTATTAATTAAAACAACATAAAAATAAACAAAATGCTATAATCTCCTACAATACTAGTAATTGTAATATAAAATGAATATAAAATGAATATAAAATGAATCAATTTGTAATGTAATAAAATTAAAACTATTTAAATACTTCAAAATAATGACTAGAGAATTCTGCATTTTATTGATTCAACATAAAACAAAAGACATTAACATTATTTTTAGAAAATCCATCAATCTTGCCCAACTTAGAACATATTTGTAAAGCCAGGCTAGTAATTCAGATATTTGGAATTTAAAAGTATTTGAAGTTAAAAAATATATTTCCAATTTTAAAAATTTGAGCAGGCCTCTTTTCTTTTTGGGGGGTGCTGGGGTGGGTAGGTATAAGGGATTCAACTCAGGGGCACTAGGACACTAAGCCACATCCTGAACCCTATTTTGCATTTTAATTAGAGACAGGGTCTCACTGAGGTGCCTCACTTTTGCTGAGGCTGGCTTTGAACTTGCAATCCTCTTGCCTCGGCCTCCCAAGCTGCAGGGATTACAGGCAAGAGCCACTATGCTTAGTAAGCAGGCCTCTTTTCTAAAACAAATAAAACTTCCCCCAAACCAAAAAGTAAA